CAGTGCGTTCAAGACATTAATGATCACTCTGTCCTCAAGGCACGCAACCTAGAAAGGAAGTCCCATCGAGGAAATTGCGTCTCCAGCATCTTCTCCTTGGGAAAAGAGCAAATACTAACCTCTCCATTAAATAACTCTTCCTTATTTGCGCAACACTTAAAACAGTCGTTGACTTGCCCGCTGGAACAGAGAGGTTTTCAAAGGGTTTGCTAAACCACACAGCTAGTCTCCAGGGGATGAGGAGAGGGAAAGAGAGGAAGATGGGCTGCAGAATGGAGATTTCGGAATACATAAACACGCTCTTTTATGCTAAGCCTGAAAGGCTCCCAAAGCCCAGGAGAGCCAACTGCAGCAATACTTTAAAGTGATCAAAAAAGACAAGTGTTATTTGGTATCTGGATGTCAGTGTGAAGTGCCAAATAAAAATAATTAGCTGATACTGTAATAATGAGATAGCGGACAAAGAACTAAGAGAGGAGATCACTCTGAAACCCATGTCTAATGTTATCAGTGCCTTCTGCACGCAGCCTCAGTCTGCGCTTCCACAGATGAAGAGAGCACTCCACAGCTGCAGCTGCCCCAAAAGCCTGTGAAACATTGCAGCAAGGATTTAAACACAACGTGAAAAATTGCAGCTCCCCCAAGTTTTTGTTTTGTGGTACAGGTGTTTTAATGGATGCAACATCCAGCTCCTTGCAAGGAATTGGATTCTAAAGGATGTTATTTTGAACTTAAACACACTGGGAACTCTCACCAGGTTTCATGGCATAAGCTATGTGTATAAGCTACAAATACGAGGATGATTTTATGGAATTCCAGGAAACTACAAGTGAAAAAGCATGAAGTTTCTCTTCAAGAAAAGCACATACGCACATATTTCAGAGGACAAATTTTACTACTTCACATTTATATTTCAGTTGGCTTGCTCACCAGGAACAGAACACATGGCTTAGTCTGGGACAGATCCCCTCCTTTCATACATAAAAGATTTATTTGGTTGTTTAGTAGATACAGACTACAGATTCCCACATATTTGAAAAACATTAGCCAGATAAAAAAATCACTAATGACTTCTGTGAACAGATTTTTGAATTTAGGAGCTTAATTGTTCACAGAAGAAACATTCACGTTTTTGGCCTACTGGATTATGGTTATGTGGGGAGATTTTGGTGATGGGAGCTACAGGGATGCCTCTGTGCCCCATGTGCAAGCAAAGCCAGCTCCAGCCTGTGAGGTCAGTGCAGGAGGAGGGCAGGAGAGAGGTCCCCGGTGGAGCAGGCTGTCCCCCTGCAGCCCATGGGTCCCACAGTGGGGCAGGTCTCCATACTGCAGGCTGCAAAAACGAGCCTGGGCACAGCAGGTGGGCATGGACACACAGGGAAGGCCCCAGACCAGAGCAGGGCCAGGCAGCGAGCACCAAGGAGCAGATAAAATTCCAATCTCTGATCTCTATCTCTACTAAATCTCCCAGCACTTTAAGGTATAAAGACCATGAAAACAGCCTTGTCTGTCCACTTAGTTTAACAGAACTGCAAGCCAAGAAGCAGCATCCTCCCCCCCTCCCCTCACTAGGAGAACAAGCTCCACAATCACTTCTATCGCAGAGATGAGCAACTCAAGCATTAGATCTTTTCCATGAATGACGTAAATCGGAAGGTTATCTAGATTAACAGATTATACTTCGATTCTCTGTATACGTGCTTTATAATATTCTTTGGTCTGACAAAAATCTCATAAGGGGATGTTGAACGCAAGCAGCTTAAATTTATAAGTAGTCACGTTCAATCGTCCTTGGAGAGTTAGACTCTGCTGAAGTAGTGGCTACAGTAACTCTGAGAGCTTCCCAAGCCTCTCCTTTGCACAGGAGGCCTAGGCACCAACAGCCTAGAAAGTACAGCAGAGACATCTGACATTTTCATTTCTACTCTACCTTCTTTCACACACAGGTACATAAAGTTTCCACTGGCTGCAGCAGTTATTTGCCCTCTGTAGGCAAGGCATCAGATGGGCTTTATATGCAGCTGAGAACACAAAAACATTTCACTCTTCCAGGAAAAAGGAATCTTAACTATATCCACAAATTTAGTTAACTTAAAATATACGCCCCCTCATTCTAAAGCAAATTGACATTCTAGAGCAAATTGACACTAATCACTAATTCTCAGAAAACCAGCAGCAAATAAGGTAATTTTCAATGTCAGGAAAGAAGTTAATGCTTTACATTACTTTTAAGCCAGTCTCGTAAGCATACTTTATACCAGAGATGTGCAGTTATAAAGATTTTTCAAAGCTTACCACAGATAAAACCACAGCAGTTGTTATACCTACTGCTTTGGTGTTCTCCCTTATGTTTTACTGCCTACCCAAAGGTACCACAATCTTAAATCTAACTGCTTCCTCCACAAGGAAGCTTTCTTCCCAACTCTCATTTTAATTATTCTGTTATTTTCTATTTTAAGGGGATTGTGTTAATGCAAACTCACGTACCCATCTTTCATAACAAACTTTTGTTTTCGTAAATTAAAGATATTTTCATAAACTGCTGGACAGATTCAGCAATTCATGCTCACATTCATCTGTTTTAGTATTTTACATTACTTGGGCAATAAGGTGGGAGAGAAAAACCTTGTTTCTTCCCATCCTGGGGGAGATACTTTTGTCCAAAGTACACGATCGGAACTTTGTTTTCTGCTTTTAAGCGTATCAGAAAGAATACTGAAATAGCCATCACATGAATTACAGCACTCACAGGCATACAAGAGATCTGTGAGGGTCTTTAAGTCACATTCCATGCCTCTGTGGCTTGTTATGAAAGAAAAACCCAACCAGTACCAAATAGCCCTGAAACACAGTATTCCAACAAAGTTCAATTCACCTTGGTCTACAAATTTGTTTCAAATTGCAAACACACGTTTCATTATGTCTCTAGAGGTAGAATCAAGTTTTAAACAAATGAAAAAAAGACATTAGGTTGCACACACCTTATTTGTAGCTCTCCTACAGTTGTTTCAGCGATGTAAAAAAAAAAAAAAAAGTTGCATGGTAGTTTTTTTTCCAACAGCTTGGAATGTTCCAAAAAGACCACAAATCACTGATAAATACTCTACTTCCAATAATGTTCTTGCTGTATCATTATAGGGGAAAAAATGTACATCCCAAACTACTGTAATTTCAACTTGTTATAAGGATATACATCACTTGTTTTCTTACATCAAAATACAACTGATTTAAAAACCTGTCACACAGGAATGTAACTACGTGCATGTTAAATATGCATAAGAAGAGTCTAAAAGTCAATTTTCTCTCCGGGTAATATTTACTCCAAGGATCCAAACGTTTACAAGTTACAGTAAAGAATAAAATTGGGTCAAACATTGAGAGAAAACTGCTCTATGCTTTAATGTTATATGATTCTTTCTCTTGGTGGGGAGTGTGGGGGGGAAAGGTTTAGGGCAGAAAAAAAAAAAAAGCCTCATCTTAAAAGAGCAGAGGGAAACATGAAACCATCTTTATAGACTGAACATTCATTTACTGGAATGCTGAAGCTACCTTAAAGGCCTAAAAGAGATCTGGTACTCGTCTAATTTAGGGCAGGTTTCATGGTAATTGTAGCAATTTAAAAGGCAAAGGATAGCAGAAAGTGGTCCCTGGTTGTAATCACCGTTTGCACATGAAGTATGCATCAATCATTCTACCAATTAGATACTACTTACACGATGCCTGATAAATTTTGCTGCTAGTAAGCCATTCAGTTAATAAACTTCTCTTCATAACTAGTCAAGCAGCTGAGACCTTAATGCCTCATATAGAAAACGTCCTTTATCCAACTCAAGAAACCCGCACATTTAAAAGACCTCAGAAAAGGACAAAGGGCAGAACTGCATTGATTTATCTAATGCTCCGTTCCCATGCAGAATGGGAAAATCCTAGGGCCCACGCTGCAACGCAACAGAATCCTCCACATTGATGCTGCCTTTTACACCCAGTGACAGTGGTTGGACTTCGATTGGTTACAAAAAGAAATAAAACACTAACAAATAATTTCAGTAGATATTTACTCAAGAGAAACTATACGGGTTGAATTTCCTTAATGCTAACTTGATTAGAAATCTTGACTGTGTTGCATACGAGGTGAATTAGAGCTCTTAATTATTTCAGTTTTCCTACCGTTAATGAGATGGAATGGTGTCATTAGTGAGGCTTGTCAGCTACACTTATGTGCAAAGAAATGATTTGACACTGCTTTTGAAATCTAATCCTTTCGGGGAAAACAGTCTGAACGTCACTCAAGCACTGTAAATAAAAATCCTTGAAGACAAAGAGGACAGATGGCAACACTCTCAAGGAACACCATCTAAAATATTCATAGTTTAGGAGAAGAGTACTATTAACCCTGTAAATAATCAATATGTTTAAATTTCACAAGAAAAAATATCTTCTGTTCATCAAATGAGGAACAAAATCAGCAGAGATGCTCGTTATTTTCTGAACACTTGTATTCTGTGGATCTACATGCTTCATAACTACTTCCCGCTATCAGCACCCAGAAGCTGCAAACGTAAATGTCATCTACATGCAATTTTGTTGCTAGGCTGAGTTATCACCCCCTCAGTCCTAGCTACAAAGAAGCAAAACCACATAAGGCAAGGTTATAAACTGGTATTATTATTATGCAGGAGCAGCCATGGCAATCCCTCCCTTTCCTTCTCCTCCCATTTTAACTACAATTAAAGACTGTTAGAAAGTCAGGTAAAATGCTTAACAGCTTCCTTTGGTAGGAGTTAATTCAAAACAAATGTTATCAGAGATGCATGAAGCTACCTACTACTGCTGAAAAGACAACTACAGCAAGGGACAAAAACAGTGAGATGTACTAAAGACTTGAAATCAAAAGGAAACAAATCAAGATGATACACAGAACAAGGGGAAAACGCTACAGTACAAAAACCGCCTTCTGCCTCTTCAAAACAAGAGCTGCCATGAAGACAATGTATAGTTACCTGCATCCATATCTGCAAAGAATGGAACAGCCAGTAAGGAAAAGAAGGAACCAGAAATTCAGTGTCTCAGAGTTGGATTTAAAAGTTCATAAGGAGAATAAATAAAGAAATCAAAAAAAGTATTTAGTGTAAGACACGCTTCTGTAAGGTACTACGATATTCATGATTTCAAGCTACAGACTTGTTTTGATTATTGTTAAACACTAAAATCTTTCCAGGTATACATTAATTTTCTGTGGCATCAGAACAGGTTTTGTTTTGGTTTTCTTCCTTTTTTAAATTTCAAGACCAAAGATTTAATATATTAAACAAAGAACAACTTAGATCTTTGGTTTAGCTTGTGAGGTTTGTTTTTATTTATTTTTACTTTTCCAACATGACAAGCTGAATGGCCCAATTCTGCAAAAATCTGGTAATCCAGTACCAGATAAAACAATTCTGTCTTTCAACAGCCCAGCTGAAAGCAACTGCACTGGGGGTAATGAACTCTTTTCTATATATGGCTGTAAGTTTCTCTTATGTACAAACAAGGGATGAAAAACCATTTAAGGATGCTAAGAAGTTATGCAAAGGGTAAAATTACACTTATCACATGTACTTATCTCAGTCTGGAAAATGTTAAAGAAAAACTGTCCATGACCATTGAAAAGACAATAGGTTTCTTTACCAATTTGTTTAATTGCATGATTAAAAATTTATTAAAACATGGTCTGTGGGGAGAAATAAAGAAATTTGCATATCCACATACCTTCAGGTGATTCTTCTTGGACATATGTGCCAGTCAGATACCGGTGTACAAGTGCAGACTTGCCACTAGCTAGGTTACCCACAATCCCCTGGAAAAAAGGAAAAAAAGTTAAACTGCAATTAATTCCCATAAAAAAGCAGTATATTCAAGCAAGATCTTAACACACAAATCATTTCTCTGACTTGAGGAAAAAGCCCATGCCACAGGAGCACCTCAAAATATGTCAACAGCTAAATCATCTGCCAAAAAGCTAAGGCTACAGCAGAAAATATAAACAACATAGCATAAAACAAAATTAGTAGCCTTCCTTTACTCTTCTTGCCATTAATTAACCCCAGGTGGGAATACGAGGCAACGTGTAGATTTCAAGGAAGAAAGCTGAAACTTGGAGAAAGGTTTGCACCTCTATACTGAAAATGTAAAGAAGCTTTAAAATCATAATACTGTGAAGTATCCCTGCAGACCATCCAGCCATGTGATTCACACTGCCTCTCTATTTCAGCATAATCTGTATGGCCACAGAGATGCAGATACAGTTATATATATATGATATATAGGATACATATAGTTATGGCTATAGAAATACAGATTTGGGCATGTCTACCAGGACTTACTGAAGTCCTTACTTCACCAGCTGAACTTTCCAACAAGCTTACAAGTCAAACTGTCCATGCCCAAACACCTTCTCTGGAACGGATGACAAACAAATATAAGTACACGATCTTAAACCATTTTTTTTAAGATGGTTTTCTCACGATTGGTTTTAAAGGACAAGCAGAAGTGGTAGAACATAGCTCAATGACAAACAGTTTCCTTCCTCAAGGTGCTCAAATGCCAAAGATTAGCTGTGACTCTTGCTCTTTCAGAAGGGGTGTGATGCAAGTCCTCCCGCAGTACTCCCACAGTCCCAAACCAGCCTGCCCCTTCCTGACGCAGATCCACGCTAGCAGACAAAACAATTCCTGCTGCTACGGCCCTGGGCTAGTCAGACCAGAGTGAGCAACACATACAGCCAGATCTAAGCCTGGCTGCCTGCCCTGCATGGTTAAGAGGGCCATGTGGGCCTGGAGAACACACCTGTACATTTCAGTTATACATCTTGCTTTCCTGCTCAGGAGTCACTCAGTTATTCAGATCTCCCTGTGAACAGGACTCTGCAGACACAGCACTTCCTCAGTTACTGGGGATGAGATGGGAACTGGCTTCCTCTTCTAAACAAACCGAACCCTGCTTTGTTGTACATGACTATCTTGACCCTAACCAAGAGGTTTAGAACACAAGCTCCCTGGAGATAGGATGAACTCTCAGCTGGCTGGCTTAAGGCTGCCAAACAGAGGCCGGAGGAACAAGTTCCACATTAATGCACAGTCCCTATTCCACTTTCTTAATCCTAAGTGATGAGAAGCTATCCTCCTTATTAAAAAGTTGCTTAAACCAACAGAGTGGTGTCACCTGTGATGACAGTTTTAGAGTCAGTAGGTTGGGAGGGGCAGCAAAAACCAATCTATTCTTTACAATTATGAACAGCCTTCAATTAAGACAAATACAACAGTGCCTGGAGGATACCCACCTTCTCCCTACAGCTGGCATGCAAGAAGGGCTCAGCCAAAGCCCAAGTTAGGCAGGGAGCAAAGGGAAGGCAGTGCTGCATCTCCCTTGTGCCCCTGTGATAGCATAAGCTTTAAGTGCAATGAATAGCATGGGCTACAGCGAAAGGATATAAAACAAGAACCCAAACAGATTTCTGAAGTCCCAGGAAACAAGAACACATGGCATAACTTGGGGGTGAGAAGCAGGGAAAAGAAACTCCAGATCCCATTCTGACCTAACACTACAGGAAGCTTCGCTCTTCCTCCATGCGGGTTAGTGGGAAAGTGCTCAGACAAAAAACAGGTAGAAAAAAAAAAAAGCATAACAAGAAACTCAACAGAAGAAACCCACTGCAAGTGTAGCTGCTACCAGAGAAGTCATACAAGATGAAAAAGGACACCAGAGCCCTAGCAACCATACACCAGACAGCTGCTTACTGGGCTTTGAGTTGGCTTTGAGGAGTGTTTAACCCACTGTGCTGGAAGCTTTTAATTTAATTTACATCTGGGCAATTACAAGCCATGCTAGCATATAATCAAAGAACAGCTCAGGTTGGAAGGGCCCTTAAAGCCCATCTTGTTCCATAGGCAGGGATGCCACCCACCAGATCAGGTTGGCCAAGGCCCCATCCAGCCCAGCCTTCAACAACACCTCCTTGAATGGGGCACCCACAGCTTCTCTGGGCAGCCTGGGACAGGGCCTCATCACCTGCAAGTGAAGCTTACACCAAAACGTCAGTATCTAAGGGTCAGTGCAAGATATGTGGCAGAGGCAAACACCACCTAATGACTGAACCTTGTGTTCTCAGCCAGCACTTCCATGGGACTCAGCTCTGGAAACACAGCAGAGCTTCACTCAGGGCTGGCCGTGACAGCAGCACTGACCAAACCTGCCTTTCCCCTTCAGGGCTAAGGAACAAGTAACTTATTCCAGTAAGCTGTAAATTATAAGCACAGCTGCACCACTGAAATTCGGAAATCTCTAAGATTTACTCCATGCATGTATAAATGCTAACAAACTAAATATTCATTGAGGTTTATCTCACAGGCTGGCTTAAATGCTGGCTGTAGCAAGGTTCCTCACTAGGAGCGTCTTTTTTTCTGGGTTACAGAAGACACCCTGCTCCCTACAAGTTTTTACTAGTCACTTGTTCTTTTCTGTGGAGTTGCAAAACTCCATCTTGTGAAGCAGGTAGCTTCCACAGGTGTGCAACTTCATCTACCTGATAAGCCTCACCACGTAGGAAGACAAACACCAGCAATGAAAGGATACAGCTGATACTTCAATCCTCTTAAACCATTAATCTGCTCCTCATGCTTGGCTTCACAAGCAGGTCAGACATGCAAGGCAATGACGGCCTGCAAGATGCCCACGCTCACCGGCTGACATCAAAGGTTTTGAGTCTAGAAAGGAGGTCTCTTGATTGGAGCCAATCAAGATTTTGGGTACACACGTCATTTAAGTCCCCCTGGGCAATCTACTCCAAAAAAGCTACGCTGAAGGGATTAGTGTTTATTGATAAAGAGATAGAGGTGCTTGCTAGTTGTTGTACCTTCAGCAAGCAGCTAACCAGCACACGATACTCACTGGAGCAGCAGCTCGGCATGGTCCCAAGGCAAGCTTTCCCATGTCATTCCCCACCAGACCTACATTATGATTGTCTATACCAAGAATAGCAAGAAAACCAGAACTATCTCTGAATCAGGAGATTGGAGATGCCATTTCAGCTGTCTCCCCTGCAGATAAACAGCCTGGCCAAGGCCCTTCATGAGTAACACACTTTCTGAAAAACTGGGAAGCAAGAAAACTTTGTGTGTTTTTACTAGGAAAATAACGAGAGAGAAGAACATTTTGTGTTGTCACTTTACAACCAACAACTCTATGACTTTGGAAACATCACTGATGCAATTTCTGACCTACTTTGTAGCCAATGCAACAACACCACCTATGAACAAAGCCATTATGTCATGAGGTACAACCACAGGCACAGAAACTCCCAGCAGGTATTTAAACCTTCATTTACAAGTGACTGTAGTCCCGCCTGTACACATACGAATGCTATTTTATATTGTACTGGTGCCAAAAACGTAACTAGTCAGAGGGCAAAACTGCCAGGACCAGAAAAGCAACAGCTCAGGCCGCAGTGAGAGGGAACTGCTGGGTCCTTGGCCTGGGGCTAGAAGTGGTACTGTCATTAGCCAGACCCCAAATATTTATAGGACATTCAGAGATTTCAGAATACCACTCAGTTTGGTGTTTTTGCCCTCAAACATCCCAAAGACATCTTCCAGAACTGGTGGTTTGCCAGCGTGCTCCTCCTTACAGGCACCCAGAGAGACACGTCTGCCTGGCCAGGAGAGCACCATGAAACAGGATGCTACAAACTGATGCAGAAAACAGTGATTGGGATGAACAAAATGTGTATTTCAATTAAGAAACCACCTCATGTATGTAGCAGACCTAGAGCCTTCTTCCCAATAAGTTTCATTATTAAAACCACTGCCACATAAAAAGCAGTGCATTTCCTTTCTTTCTCATTCATGTTCATAAGCTGTTTTCAATATAGAAAACAAGAAGTGTTGGAGTTTTAAAGATAAAGCAGGACTGATTTTCTGGGTCAGAATGGCCAACTGCTTCTTAGCAGAGAAGTTCCTGAATTTGTACTTCAAATCACTTTTAAGCTACCCACTGACCTGACAAACTGAGCTCAAGCTGAAAGCAGCCAACACGAGAAGCCATTAACATTGCTATTCCAGCATAAAACTGCACTAACTTCTCGAAACCGCAGGAACCCCAAGTCACCTCGAGCTGCCCACAAGATTTGCATGTCTGACACCGCTTCGCTTTCTCCCCAGACAACCAGGTCAGGAAACAGGCACAAGGCACCGAGCTCCTCCTGTCTGCCCACAGAGGGTTCCTTCAGCCTCCCCTGGCTTTTCTGCCAGGTATGGAAGCAGTCCGTGGGATTGCAGCCTGGCATAACCAGCCTGCTGTCACCCAGTGATACTACTTCCAGCCTCTGTCTGTTATTAACCTCTGAGACTAGGAGCAGCAGATCTCACGCTGACAAATTCTGACTTGTAGTACCACGAAATTGCCCTCAGTTGGGATTTCTACTTGTTTTAGGGACGATCCCACACTTTATGACAACTATCCCTGCATGCTTTCAGAGCACGTGTACTCCTGTCCCCTCAACTCTAGATGGGAAAGCCCCAAACCACGTCTGTCTGCAGGTCCACGTGAAGTGCACTGCGTCCTTACAGCACCTTCGGGAACAAAGCCACCACCCAGCACCGAAACTCACAGTCCCTCTGACGAGGACGTAACGCAGTGCCCCACCAGGATGACTGAATCATTTATTTGCACATCTGCTCAGACGCAATTTATACAACCCCAAACCACTGTGCTTACACCCTACTGAAGCCTACTTATGAAAAAGCCTCACGTATTGACAGCACAGGGCATCTTAAAGCTATTCAGCACAGCAGATTGACTGCACAAGGCTTTTTTTTGGAATAAATAGAATGATTTTGTCCATTTAGTTCTCCTGTTTACTCTGCCTACCACCAGGCCATGTTTTGAAGTTGCTACAGTGACGGGAATGCCATCCCCCTGCTGCAGGCCAGCCTCCAGACCCCAAAATTTGTTACCTCCTAAACAGGCCAGCAGCTGAAGGCAGCAGACGGGGCTGAGCAGCTTAGCCAGCTGTGCCACACCATTTGCTACGGTTTGCAAGGAGAACAAGCCCTTATTCTGCATCTCCATCAACAGGATCCAGGAGCATCACCATCGCTCAATAGACTTCTCCCTGTGTGTTTTCCCCAAGTCCTTTTCTATTCCTGTTAAACTTCTGTGGGGCCTGGAAGCGTAACAGCAGCTGCTATAAAACCGTTAGCCTCAATTCAAGGGCTGCCCAGACACTGCAGTGAACAGCCTCTCCCAGCAAGCTACCAGCCACCTTTTCCTACAGGACAGCGTTGGTTTGGGCAGGGCTTCCTTCACAAGCCAGTGACATTAAGCCTGACCATCCCACCTGCACTGCCAGGTGACAGGAGCCAACATCCCGCTTTTCACACCTCCCCAGCAGCCCAGCACAGCCCAGATGAACCAACGCACCCACAGCTCTCCATGGAGGTGAGCCGATGGCAGTGCTGTGGCCGAAGGGAGGGCTAGCTCTCAGCATTACCTTCTTGCTCCTTTGCCCCAGCCCAGAGCCACCAAGGATTCCGCGAGCACAGGGATGACTTGCTACACGCACTCCTCCATGAGGGCAGATTTATAGGAGCAGATCCCTTTCCAGACGAAGACCTAGTTTGCCCTTTCTGCTGGACCCAAGTTCACAGCTCCAGCTGGCACTGCTCGCTTCAGTCATTTGCTGCGGTATAATCAAATTATTGTCTGCACAACGGTGGGAGTCCTGCTTTCATCCGGTGCTAAGCAGGCTACAGCCTTAGACAGCGATCCTCAGGCTCACGCATGCCAACCACTTCAAATCAATTCTCTACAGCAGCTACACAGCACAAGTTTATTTCCATGCCACCGCTTCACACAACGTGGGGAAAAGTATTCAGATAATGCAGCATTGGTGTTACAAGAGGTGACTGTGCCCCCAAACTGCTCCTAACGCCCTGCAACTCTATATTAGGGCACAGGAATTACAGCTTTGGTCTGACCTGCAAGCCACACGTTCATTACTGGGTGTTGGGAACTGGAAGGATGGGACAACAAGGAAATCCCCCATAGATAAACTCCCAGCATAAACTAGCAGCCACTGCAGTGGACTGGACTCCAGCCAACACCTTCCAGTCCTAAGCTCTTCAGAGTTTCTTTTGCAATGTATTTTGGGAGATACTTACCTTCCAAAACATACCATCAGTTAAACCCAATCTGGTAAACCTTCTGCAGGTCCTTCTGGTGCAATATATATTTATATCTATTGACTCAGATTTCTCTTTTATTTACCTTGTGCACTGCTAAAATAAAAGCAGGAAGGCAGCTCCAGTTTGGAGGAAGCTGTTCCCATTGGAATGTCTTTGCTATCAAGTGCATTTGTCATGTCAGGTTTGATCTATGCTTTCCCTCATCTTCATAAAAGTTATCATCAACTCAGATTTGGAAAAATAAATTTACCACATGAGAACTGGACTAACGAAGTATGGCCCCAGCTGCCCATTCTTTAATTGAGATGGTTTGTCCAACTCACTTCGCTGCTCACCAAGTGGACATTTGATTGGAGCAGCTCTGAGTGTTACAAGACACCAGAAGTGATTTAGGCACAAGGTGGCTGTCCAGACGTCTGACCACCTGCCGCAGACCGTGGATGCCTGAAGTTATCACCAAGTACAATACCTTGGATACCACAGTGAGGTTTTCTTTGTTTTTCTTTATTTAGGCTTTTAGAAATTGATCATATTTAATAAAATCTGGACTTGCACCTAGCAAACATCAGTGATCTGACCACAACAACTCTGTGCTGTAGGCTTGACAAGCTGTCTACTGTTAAATATCCACTGCTAGAAGGTCTCAACCCCCATCTCCAGCCTACACGTTTACAACTTGGAAAGAACAAATCTGGGAAATTCCCCCAATCTGTCTTTTTGTTTGCCTTTTCTTCCATCTATATGTGAAATGGCTCAGCCAATGGAAAAGCTATTGTAAGCAGCTATTAAATCACTGCTCACTGATACTAAACGGTTGGTTTCGATTCCCTAAATGAACCTCCCAAATATTTCATTTTTGTTAAGTATAATAAAGAGCTCCAGGAAATATATGCAAGCAAGCCCCCAGACAGAACATTTATTTTTAAAGTCTCTTAAGACAGGGAGGAAAGAGGAGGAAAGACATTTAGTCCTTGAATAAATTGTGAAACATTACTACAGGGAGATAAAAGGAGCATTAGATATCACCTGCTAACAGTCACTTCCCCTCTTACAGAGGCGTAAGACTCCCCTGCTCAGAAGATCACACCAGGAAGCCAGTTCCAGCAGGCAAACAAGTTGAAGCAGAAATAAAACACAAGTAGGTCTTTGAAGCATGCTTGCAAAACCAGAAAATGCGTAAACTTCAGAAAGATAGTTTTATTTTAGAAAAATGGTTCACTTTTAAAAATCTTTTTCTATGCTTTTTCTCCTACAGGAAAGGTAATGAACCTGAGAAGACTTTTCACTTCTGCATAATGTTTTCAGAATGTTTTTCAGAGAGAGAAGTAAATTCAAAAAAACTCACCACTTTCAGCTCTGGTACAGATCGGCTTAGTGTCCATTCCTGGCTATTTACAAAGGCATCTGTAAAAGCAAACAACATTCACAACATCAGTACATCATCACTTAACGCTCTGCTGCCCAGAATTTCACATTAAGGACTTAGATACTCAAGACCAAGATTCACATTTCCTCTTAAAAGATTGATATCCAAGCTCCAAGCATTGGCCTAAATCATACCAAAACCTCAAGAAATCTGGAAGTTAACATTCTGCCAGCCTCAGGGTACCACCTCAGCTGGAATTAAGAAGACAAAACCAATTCAGCTCTGTGTTATGAAAATACTTCCCCAGTCACACCTACTTGAACTGCTTCCCGTCCACCACGACACAAGTTCTGCTCTGCAAGAAAGGCCCTGGACTGCTCATCACAGAAAACATCAACAACTGCTGTTACCGCCTTTAGCAGCTTGTGCACCCAGGCAAGCAAGAACATCTTTCTGTTTGGAAGACATGCTGCTTCTTTGCTGCACATCACACAGCCACCATTGCTAGCAGCAGCATTAACTCCCCTACCCAAGGATGCAAGAATATTGGCTTCTTTTAGAAACGTGCTATTTTTCAGGAGGAAATGTGGGGTCACAAACCATTACACATCGTACACAGTCTGACTGCACTTTGATTAGATTCCGATGACGTCTGTCCACAACTTCTGAAAACTCCACCGAAGAGTAAACTAAAGCAAAGCCATTTAGACTTAAATAAACCACAGAAACATTTACTACAAAAGTAAAGAAAACAAAGAAAGAGGGGATTGACTTTTGGTAAACTGGCAAGTTAAATTCATCATTGCTCCCAACAGAAAGTCACTCATTGGAACTGCACCGATGTTCAACATCACTGACAAACCCCCACAGAAAAAAAAAAAAAGGCTCAGTTTCTACCTCCAACAACATCTCATTTGGTTCCTTCTGTTACGGTCTAATCAACTGAAAGCCAAACAACAATCATGTTCCAGTTACAAGGTCAAGCAGCGTTACTCTGCAACACGATTTACCATTTTCCAAAGCAATGCACCCTGATTACATTACTGCGTGTCCCGGTCACAGAACACTCCTACCCGGCAGATTAAACTCTACAGTACTTAACAGCACAGAAGTACCACCAGGGCAACAGATCCAATTCCCAGTGTTACAGGAACTAACAGGTGAGAAGTTATGCCTGACTACCGTGTCCATATGCATGCAGAGCTTTTGAACGCAGCTACTCAGGGCTGATACCCCAAGCAGAAGGGGGCTACTGCATTCTGTCTTCATCTGGAGCACAAAGAAGTTACAAGCAGTTTCTTACCCAAATGGTGTCCTCACCAGCTTAAGAAACTCTCAGCTGAAAGCAAGATTTCCCCTACCTACATAGTAAAAAACCTCAAAGCAAACTTGTATTTTGCATTACAGCTGCATGCCCCATTAATACATTACTTTGCTCAGTATTACGAAGGCGCATTAGCCATTAACTTGGAAGCCTTCTCCATCTTTAATACATCCTTTCCCATTTCAGATCCAAGTAGGAGCTCATGTGTACTGGCAGGACATGCACTTACACGAAGACTCTTTAAAAGAGAATTATTTTGGTATATCCCAATCTTGAGCTGTCTCCCAGTCACTCACTGGAAGGAGAAGGAAAACCAAAGGCTTGTATTAAGACACTCTAAAGACTGTTGCTCTGTTGTGTCATATTGCATTTGCTGTTCCACTGTTTTGTTTTACTCACTGCTCTTTAGCAGCAGTATCCCAAGAAGACAACACTATTTCGAAGATCATGTTTGAACTGGGATACCCTGAACCCTACCTAATTACTACAACCCAAGCCAGGCAGCAGAAGCCTTTTAGTAAGCTGTAAGAGAAGACACCCTGGTCGCCAGGCTCCTGCTTATGATTTGAACTAGTTAGAAGTAATCAAGAACTGAAGTCCCAGGGTTACATCTGTAGTGGCTGGCACTTTGACAGGGTTTGACAAGGGAGGCAGCACGCGAGTCATTTATTGTGACGTGATGCTTCTAAATTCTGCTTCATCTATTCATGGTTTAAGCAAGAAAATACAGCTTTAAATTATTATATATTTTTTTTCTTTCTCCTTCAGAACCATATCAGACTTTATGGCAATGTAGGTATTAGTTACAAAAGAAAGAACACCGAGGATTACTAAATACACTTTGGATAAGCAAACTAAGCATTTCTGGGTTTAAGCGTTACAGTTTCAATTATCAGGTTAGCAATGACTTGAAGCACTGTGACAGGGTGAAAAATGAGCAGCATTTTCTAGTTATCACCTCATCTTGAGCTCAGAGAGAGCTGTTTATGTCGCGTAGCAGGCAGGCATTTGTCAAACACTATCACAGCCTCAGACCAAACAGACCCCAAGCCAACGAAGGGGAAGATGAGGACAGCAAAGAATGAGCAGTGCTTTGTTCGCATGGAGAGAAAAAAAATGCACGCCTCAAAAGCCATCACAAAATAGTCTTCTCCAAAACATTCCTTGCTTTTAAGTAATTCAGTGCAGCTGGAACACATTTCCTTCATTGCCTAGAAACTACCATGTTGGTATATAAAAAGGCTGCAGAGGATCAGGCTGAAGAGTCAGCTATGGCAGTGCCCTATTTCTACAGCAGAAACCAATAGCAGAGACTTAGGTAAAGAATTAAGATACTTAGAGGAGAATCTAAATCTCCTCCAGGCTGACAGCGGTTTAGTTCACTGACTCCTTGAGCCAAGGCTGTCCTTCCATTCAGAGCCAGGTAGGACTCAACGTGGGCAGGTACCTGACCTGAGCAAGCACTGCCCTGTTTCCTTGCACACAGAACACAAGCTGGAATCAGGCAACGTGGTTTTTGCAAGCCTCCAACCAGAGAAGCCAGGGACACATTTCTCCAGCATGCCATAAAAGCAATTCTTCCCTCAGAGGGCAGTGAGTCCCTGTCCCAGGCTGCCCCGAGGAGCTGTGGGTGCCCCATCCCTGGCAGTGCCCAAGGCTGGGAGGAGGGGGTCCTGCCCATGGCTCCTGCACTACAGCTGGAGTACAGAGCTGAACATGAGCGGTACCAAACATACTGCACGCAGCCGGTGAGACAGCATCACCCCAGCTCCCAGTGCTTCTCCAGCAGCCCCCCCATGGCTGTGCAGCACCAAAGCTGCAGCAGATCCAACTCCAGCTCCTGAAGTGTCCTGCCTTCCCCCAGCAGTGAGCTACTACAGCTCTCCTGGATTTACTTGGACCTGCTGTTTGTTTGGGAAGCACTAGAAAAGGAAAAGTTTCCATTGAACTCCTCCACAAAAGGAAAGAACTGGCAGCAGTGAGCCACTAACAAATCCTGCAGCTCCTTTCTATTACTTCTACCTTGCATAAGGTACAGATTCCCCAGGTGATGCTTCTGGAGCATCACACACCTATTATTGTGGTCCTCACTTGCAAAGCAGTAAAAAAGATTCATATAACAAATGCAAAAAAAACCTGCAGGAGCTGATGTTAATTCTACCACTGCATGTTCAACCACAACTACCTCCCCAGTAAAGACACCAACTAATTTTTACTTACAGATCTGATGCTCTGGATTACTTCTTTTTTTTCCATTTTAAAAGGGAACTGATTAGTCAGCCTGCAGTTATACAGGTATAATTTGGGTAGTTCTTTTATTGCCCCTTTAAAAAAAAAAAGCTTATTAGGAGATCTATGAAATCATCTTCCTTCCCCAGTATAATTTACACTGGCATTTTTACAAGGAATAATGAATTATAGTTAAAACCAGAACATGTCATGAAGGAGTATCTGGTCTCTCCAGCGAAGAGATTAACGTGCCATCATTCACGCAAACATTGAAGCACAGAGCTAACTTGTAGCATAAATGCCTTTAAGTAGCAGTTTACTCTGACCTAATCCCCAAACCCATGGAAGTTAAGGCGAAAAGGTCAAATACTTGCAGATAGAGCATGACACACAAGCCCGGGGATTTTGCGGTTCTAGGGGGGTTACTTCAGGGTGGGTTTGTTACGTTTTAAAGCAACGAAGCTGCAGCATGAGTATGAACCATCCAACGCATCAAATTTAAGTATACACAGCACAAGTTGGGTAGTCCACAATCTGCCAGAGCAACAAAACCCCACTACTGAGTGTCGATTTAAATGTATTGGCAAAGATCTGCATAACAAATAGAGCCACGTGTGTGAGGCTGACCAACTGTCTTGTTTGCATTACTTTCTGATGCGAATTCAAGTGAACTCAACCTCCACATCCAACTGCAGACTGTACATACAAAAGGAAGTACTTTGGTCAATAATTAATCACACTTGTGCGTCCTGTTCGTCTAACTTCTGCGTCAATGATCAAAAGCTTCAAATATGCATGGTGTCAGCCATCTATTTTTAAAAATATGCACCCAGCTAACTTCAGTTCATTTTCTTAGCCAAGTTTTCCACAAAACAGCCTTCATATTTCCCTTTCTACTTTCCTCCTCTCCCCCTCCTTTTGGATACTTCCACCACTGTATTTAGGATCTGTGTTCTACTTGCACATCGTTACATTGATGTCATGCACAAACTAGCGAGGTCCTTCGCTGTTTTATAGCCTCAGCTTGGTGACTCAACTCTAGCCAGAGGAGCCTCCTCTGCTAGATCCGAAATTTGGCGTCAGGTGTATGAGCTATTTTGGCTCCCCATTAACACGACGTTGTGGAGCAATGCTGGGACTTAATGGCCATTCTTGGCAAGATCTGTGTTCTCTATAGCTTAGCACAATGGCAGACTTCCAAAAAGGTCCGTTTCAACGCATTGGACATAGAAGCCCTGCTCAGAATAACCACAGACAACTTTCCCCTTTAAAACCATTAGCCATCACTGAAAGGCTAAACCAACATTAGCAAAATTCAGTCTGTCCATTAACTTCACAACCCTGGGCAAGAGGTTTGAATGTCACACCATGCAATTAATACCGACATGAAAGCGCGATCTATGTCATTAACAGCAAGCCCATAAGGAGCGCACCTGCAAACACAGCATTACCAGGAGATGAGAGGATGAAGCACTCAAAGAAGCA